CTCTATACGTGTTTGCCCGAGAAATACTCAATTTCTTACTTTAAAAAGCACCTTCAGTTGCAGTCTTAACATGTGCTAAGCAGTTTGGCACCTCTCAGCACGCTCAGCTCAAGCTGCAGACACTTTGAACAACACAGTGTGGGAAAGGAACATGCTCGATTGAGGGGTCTGCTAAAGCCGTTGTGGGGCTCAATTTGCCTCGGGTAGGGTTTTGTTTTTCTTTGGAGAGGGCAATGGACCACAAGCCAAGGTACGAATTTAAGCATTCTGATACATGTTTCTTAACCAGAATTTCACGTAGAACACGATTTGCGCAACGAAAATTACTGAAACCAACTACTAACGGAGATATTAACAGTTTTATTTCACATTAGTTACGAGGAATTTGAACTGCCCGCTCACAAGAAACTCGAAGCTCTAAGTGAGTCAAATCGCGCACTACAACGGTTTCAGCAAGCTTCTCAATCGAGCAATGTTTATTTCCTACCATGTGTTTTTCAAACTGTAAGAAATTTGCTATAGCTGAGCCAAAGCGTCAAGATTGAGGTTGCCAGATTTTTTTATCGCAGAGTCTTTCATAATAACGTTTAGCGCGCGATGTGAATCACGTAGAGCACTGAGTTTTCATGAGCGGGTGGTTTCAATTCACGCACCAAGAATCATTAAATATCTTCGAAAAGAGTTGATTTCGGTAATTTTCGTTGTGCGCATCGTGTTTTACGTGAATTTCTGGTGAAGAATCATATATCAGAGTGCTGAAATTCGTACCTTGTTTAATGGTCCATTACATCTAAAAAAGCGAACATAGAGAACTTTCCTAACTTTTCTTGAAAAAAATATTTTATTCTGCTAAACGAGGCAACGTTGGAATGCTGGGCCTTTTAAGCCTCATTGTTCGATGCCGTGATTAGCCTAACGTGAGTTCGAATAATCGCGCCAGACACAATGCGGTCGGCGCACGGTGGATCGAGTCAATGGGAGAGGTCGGTCATGGAGCGTTGCGCTTCCAATGTTACGAGGATAACGAATATTCCTGGTCATTTGATCGATTATGAGCCACCAATCTCATGTAATTTTTCGCGTAGAATTCATTTTTGATGTTATTTTTGGTGAACAACGTACCTGAAGACCCGTATTTGTCCATTTTGTCGGGAAAACTATACAGGTGCAAAGTTTAGGCGTCTGTGTTTTACTTCGTAGGACGGAGTTTTTAATTTTTCATGATGAAAGAGGATAAATTATGAATAAAATTGTGAAAACTTACTACTAAGTGTCACAAATACGCAAAAATACTTACCTCCCCAGTTATGAGCTGCTGCATCAGATAAATAATTCCCTTCACTGCAAAGTTAATTTCGTAACTTTGTCATAAGATATCATTCTTATGCATAAAGATCGGTGAGAAAACAAATGAAATACATTTATGAATTCTTTGAAAATATTCAAGATCACTTTTACTTTAAATTCATTTTTACATTCAGAGGACGGAACAGGGACTTAGAGTAGGAAAAACACTAGATGGCTAGAAAAAAAAAGAAAAGAAAAAAAAATTAAACATGTAACAGTCATCTGTCATCTGCTTCTCCTTATTCTTCTTCTTCTTCATATTCAGTTCCCCATCACTCTCATCCTCGTCTTCCGCTCTCAAACCGCATCAAACTTAAAAAACAAGCAACGCAAAAAACCGCAAAAATTTCAAAATTTCCCGGACTTGTAACGTTAAAACGTACTCGCAGTGTAATCAGTTTCGCACTGACTGCACTTTGTTTACATCGAAATAGGTGACAAATTAAAAAATATGTACGTATTTGAAAGAAGCATCGGTTATCAGAGTTCACCAGTGACCGGTCGCGCGCGATCGCGGAGGCCAACAAATAAAATGGCATCATAGTCAGGGGCCAGGCAAGTAAAGGGGGGGGGGGTTACTTGCTAAAAGTTTCCTCAAGCTATCTATGCATACGTCCCAAAAAAGCTTTCTATAAGGGATATAAAGGGATGTCCGAGTGAAAATATGCCCGATTTTTTTTTTAAGTTCTCCTATAGATATGTAGTTTAGGAAATAATGAAAATACGAAAAACGGGCCAAAGAGCACGTCTTGATGGTGAAACTTGTTTTTCAGTTTCCTACGAACAGGAATCATACCTACCTGGGTCATTTAGCAGTTACGAGAGTTCACTGGTCGCTTGATTTTCGAGATAAAGCTCGCGCGCAATCTCGGAATGCAGCAGAAAAAGTGACGTCACGGCCAAAGTGGCGCAAAGTGGCACCCAAATTTTGCGGGATCGTATTCTCAGGACTCCTACGAACATGCCTATACAAATTTTTCTGGCGGATGGTGGCGGATGAGTAGTTAAAAGTCTACCTTAACTTTTTTTTTCTGCATTTTGATATAAGCACATTAGTGCAAACATAATCATTGAAAAAATGGGCCGAATACAAAAAATTAGTAGCGGTATGTGTTCTCCAGACTCTGGAAAATAAGAATCAATTAATGAAACCATCATTAATTTAAACAGAAGCAAGCTAAGTGCCGCGGCAGCTAACCGGTCGCTTGATTTTCGAGATAAGGCTCGCGCACAATCTCGGAACGCAACAGAAAAAGTGACGTCACGGCCAAAGTGGCGCAAAGTGGCACCCAAATTTTGCGGGATCGTATTCTCAGGACTCCTCCGAACATGCCTATACAAATTTTTCTGGCGGATGGTGGCGGATGGGTAGTTAAAAGTTTGCCTAAACTTTTTTTTTTCGCTTTTTGAGATGAGCACATTAGCGCAAACATAATCATTGAAAAAATGGGCCGAATACAAAAAATTACTAGTGCAATGTGTTCTACAGACTCTGAAGAACAAGAATATGTCAATGAAATTAGCATTAATTTAAACAGAAGCAAGTTAAATGGAATAGAAAGACTCGGACGATTTTTCGCTAAAATAAAAAGTTACGCAAAGCCCCTCTTTGATGCCTTCTGTCACAAAAATGAACATGTTTCGTTCCAAATCAATGTCAGATCTTTAAAATATAACTCTTGAGGAACACTTTTGACCCTTAAAAAATGCGATTCGCCCGAATCGCCCATGACCGACCTGTACCATTAACTCGATCCACCGTGCGGCGCCAAACTCATATCAGCGCCTGCAAGACTGAAGGAATACTTCACGCATTGCGCCAAACAGTGCGGTAGGTGTCACGCGCATATTAGCGCCTACATGACTGCACGAATACTTCTCGCATTGCACCAAACGTAACGCGAAAGTTATTTGCGATAACTACATTTGACCACGGGTATAGGCAACTTATATTGTTTTGAAAATTAAAATTTTCGCCAGGAAAAAAATTTCGAGTTAAGCCCAATTTTATTATACATATCTTGAAAGCTCTTTCTTGGGGCTTTCCAACGACACCAAAACGGTGATTTCGAAGGAATCTTTCCGGAGGTACACATCACTGAAGTGGTGACATCCCTCGAAAGAAGCCAACTTTCGTGAACTTTCAGTGTCTCATCGAATTCCAACAGGTGGTCTAATCAGCTTGATATTTTGAATTTTTACTAAGCTATGAATGTACACAGAGTATGCCGAATTTCATCAAATTCTGAAGGGGTCACTTTTCACAGTGCCACCAGTTGGCATGGAATGACCCGCCTAGGAGATGTATTTCGACAGTGTAAGTCGGCAATCACATAGGTAACTCGGTTTGCGACGTCGCAGACTTCCTGTCATACCTTCTTTATTTTTTAAACAGAAAACTACTCAATGGCAATTCTTTAAATCTGCCGTGATTTTTCTTCTCTGTGCGAAGAAAATTCTGCATAAACTTCAAGGAATGATGCTAATTTGTTCTCTTTTAAAGAAATAACAGAGGCGGAGATTTTCAAACACCGCAAACGAGATATGTGATTGCGGACTTACGCAGTCGATTTGTTGTAAAAACAAAGAATTGAAGGTGCTCTATTGTTTTGGATCATCTCGATATGGCCTGCCAAACACGCCGCGGGTGAAGCGGTTCGCGATGAGTGCTTGGAGCACCAATACGCCTTCACTTACAAGCGTAACACGGACATCTATGAAGCCCAAGTAGTTGCATCCAGGCATTATAATAAAATTCATTTTGTGTTTGTTGCATGCAACACTAATAACTGAGGGCACTTTACTAGTTCCTCTTGTACCTACATTCACTTAATTTCTGCGTTACTTGCTGTGTAGATGGAGGAAATTATCACAGCTCATTATGATGCCATTATCGATTTATAGAGAAATGCATCCACTGTTTGCATTTATCACAACGCTGCCCTCCTGAAATGTGGGCTGGGGCCCTTTACACTTATTGACCTGCGAAGAACAAATAAGGTGGAGTCCTTTCAATAAATACTTCAAGAAATATTATCGAAAACAACTCTCTGTTTCATCACTTCAGAAGCATTTTTAACATTAAACTCAAATTAAAATTCTCCTGTTGAATGCTGTAGAACATTAATTATCCGCTATCTGCTAAACTGCGGTTGTCTGGAGCACTGATATTTTGTTTTCTCAGATGAAAAAAGGGTAAAAAAGGTGGTCCAACAAATAATGACGGATGATCAAAGGTCGTTCAGTCTCTTTCAAACATCCCATAATGAGTCTTGCTCAAGTTTACTGCGCATACTATAATTCTTCTCGATGGAAAACCAAGATATGCAAGTAGATCGTCGGTGCGCATATTTTACAGTTGCTGTTTCCACCACAATTCATTGCGCAGAAAAAAGCCTGGAATAGTTGGTGAGGATGAAGTCAGCTCGATGAAAGTTCAAAATGATTGAACCAGACATTTATAAAAGCATAAATCCATAGAATACTGATGCAAAGGAGTTGACAATCTTCATGCATGATGTTGTTGATGTGCCCATGAATAAATAGACGTAACTATTCAGGAACAATCATCGGACTTTACCTCGGCATAGATAACAAACAGGAACCTTATGTTTCATTAAAGTATTATCTAAATTGATAGATTACTTACTTACCATTACAGACAATCTGAAAAGTTTTGTAGTTCTGCCATTGGGTACATACAATGAAATCCACTTCAGACCAAATAACAGATCATGTACGAACAGATTTGACCACTGACACTAAAAATTTGGATTTAAGGTAGTAGATCCGAGATAACAGGCACTGAGAAAAAATTATTGTATGGTAAGACTCCTCAATTACAAGCGTGGGCAGTAAAAGAAAGCCAAATTGCCCGAAAAGTGCTGGAAAAGTGCAAAACTTGAGGTTAGGTTAGGTGAAATACTTGACCCTCAACGGCAGTGATGTCGGTATAAAGCGATCCGGAAAAGATCCGGAACCTCCATAAACTAAACCAGCGGAATTTGTTCCGATCCGGGATCAATGTTTACTAGATGTTTACCGTTAATTAATTAATCCATTTTGGAGTCCTCTATTTTTATGAGAAAAAGAAAATCAAATCATATGATTTGACGGATTATATTTATTGAGGATGGATATCGAAGACCATCCTCCGAAAATTTCGAGAAAATCCAAAGGGGAAATTATATGCAATGTTGTTGAATTGCTCCATCATCCATAATTCGCGAGTCGCGTAAATTCAGGGCAGGCTCTGAGGTTTTCAAGTTTTCATTTGTGCATCCCCTTTGACGCATAAGATCTTGAGTATGCACACCCAGAATCATCCTTGGAAAATTTCGAGAATATCCAAGGGGGAAATCTCCAGGAATGTTGTCCCATCGCTGCATCATTCATAATTCGCAAATCGCGTAAATTCAGGGCAGGCTTTGAGGTTTTCACATTTTCATTTGTGCATCCCCTTTGACGCATAAGATATTGAGTACTTATGCACACCCAGAATCATCCTTGGAAAATTTCGATAAAATCCATGGGGGAAACCTCAAACAATGTTGCCGCATCCATTGTCAATACGAGACAAGTCGCGTAAATTCGGAGCAGGCTCTATCGTTTCATCAATTTCATTTGTTTATCCGATTTGACGGATTATATTTATGGAGGATGAAAATCGAAGACCATCCTCTGAAAATTTCGAGAAAATCCAAAGGGGAAATTTCATGCAATGTTGCTGAATTGCTCCATCATCCATAATTCGCGAGTCGCGTAAATTCAAGGCAGGCTCTAAGGGTGTCAAAGTTCATTTGTGCATCCCCTTTAGACACATAAGATATTGAGTATGCACACCAAGAATCATCCTTGGAAAATGTTGAGAAAATCCAAGGGGGAAATTTTCGGCAATGTTGCCGAATTGCTGCATCATCCATAATTCGCGAGTCGCGTAAATTCAGGGCAGGCTCTGAGGTTTTCAAAATTTCATTTGTTCATCCCCTTTGACACATCAGATATTGAGTATGCACACCCAGATTCATCCTTGGAAAATTTTGAGAACATACAAGGGGGAAATATCTCTACGAATGTTGTCGAATTGCTGCATTACCCATAATTCGTGAGTCGCGTAATTTCAGGGCAGGCTCTAAGGGTTTCAAAGTTCATTTGTGCATCCCCTTTAGACACATAAGATATTAAGTATGCACACCAAGAATCATCCTTGGAAAATTTTGAGAAAATCCAAGGGGGAAATTTTCGGCAATGTTGCCGAATTGCTGCATCATCCATAGGTAATTCGCGAGTCGCGTATAAATTCGGAGCAGGACTGTCGTTTCATTAATTTCATTTGTTCGTCCAATTTGAAATATTTTATATTGAGTCTGGACACCCAGAATCATCATCAGAAAATTTCGAGAAAAACAAAGGGGGGTATCACGAGCAATGTTGCCGTATCCATTTGATGCATGATGATTCTTGAATTGGCCGCCAAGAATTTTTTTATATCTTTATTTAAGCTAAATTTTTCTTGATACATGAATGAAAATATTGAATTAAGCATATATATAGTTTGTGATAAGCAGATTATGATCAGAATTCTTGATTCAAGAGAGAATACTTCTTGGCAGCAAAAAGATTTTTTTTTTCTTTCAGTGATTACTTACTAGGACGTAGCCCCTTAGTGATTTAAAATCTACGAAACTTCATGTCTCTTGTGTAAAGAGGTTAGTAATATAATTTAAATCCTGCGAAACGTTCATGGTTTAAAATTAATGAGTTTCTCACTCAGGGTCACTCTTATTTTTCAACCAATATTAGTCGTTGTTGAAAATTGAATGTCTCTTTTTGCAACATAGATGATTTCTTGACACATTGCCTGTATTACTTACAATAAGCTAAGGAACATTATTTCTTGACATTTTTGCTGGTTATCCTGCATCCTGTGCAGAATATTTGGTAAAATTATGAATAATTCACTGATTTTCATTGAAAGGAAAAAATTTAAATGAAAATGAAACATCATCAGCTCTTCTTGAAACATTCCAAATGAGGAAAGTGTTTTGAGACTTTCGCCATAAAGCCATCTCAAGACAATCAGATTCAGAAAATAGGGAGAAATAAAAAATTTGTGGCAATTTATTTTAAACACACTAAACTGAAAGAGCACAATTTTGTATTTGAACCAAAACCAGTTTTTTAAATTTCTCGTCTTTTTCCGCATCCAACGAGTGGTCATATAAGCTGGGAAACCGAACGGTTCCGGAGTTATGATCGATAGAAGTTTCCACTCAACGCGCGCCGACCGATTATCGCGCGCAAAAAGGTCGGATTTGACTATTATTAAATCAGATTGAATGTTCAAATTGAGCAAAATGCATAATTAGGGACTCTTGAGGGTCGCTGAGTTCAGAAATTACAGATACTTCCAGAAAATTCACGTTTCTAAAATTACAGCTCCGTACAGGACCACTGAGCGGCCAGCCGGCGCTCAGTGGGCCTCTAAAATAGCGCTACGGAACTGTAATTTTAGAAACGTGAATTTTTTGGAAGTATCTGTAATTTTTGAACTCAGCGACCCTCAAGAGTCCCTAATAATGCATTTGGCTCAGTTTGAACATTCAATCTGATTTAATAACAGTCAAATCCGACCTTTTTGCGCGCGAAAATCGGTCGGCGCGCGTTGAGCGGAAACTTCAATCGATCATAACTCCGGAACCGTTCGGTTCCCTAGCTTATATGACCACTCGTTGGATGCGGAAAGAGACGAGAAATTTAAAAAACTGGTTTTGGTTCAAATACAAAATTGTGCTTTTTCAGTTTAGTGTGTTTAAAAGAAATTGTTTTTCCTCAAGAACTGAAAAAAGCACATAAGTTAAAGTAAAATGTAATTTTGGGATTTTGACCTTTAGAATCTTAAAGTATGCAATTTTAGATGATTTTTCGTCCAAACCGGGCCTCAATATCTTGTTTCGTTCAAAAGATATCGAGGTTCACAGGTTTTGACTTCCACCCGCCCCCCCTAGCGCCCTCCCAAAATTTTTTGGGGGTCTGAAAATTTGGGGAAAGAAGCGCTCCAGTATTAGTAACTGATAGACGAAGTTTGAATAAGTTTTAGTGGGGGGGGGGG